ACACAAGGGAGAACTAGAACTTGGGGAACAAAACACAACACAAGCCTGACATGACGCCCCCCTCCGGTCAGCTCGATCAGGGGAAAATCACACGTCGGAAGATCGCAGCGGATTATCTCGTCATCCAACCCCAGCAGGAAGCACGCACCTAGAGTGGCGTCGTGCCAGCTCACCCGGTTAGAGAGCTTGAGAAAACCCTCCACATATCGCTCTAACCTCAGACCGCCCTGCCGCAAACCCCACAGCGCGTCCTCAGAAGACTCGACCACAAAAAGATGACTGCAGCTGTCACGGTGCGTAGGAGGGATACGAGGAGATGACGTTAAAAACTTGACTTTTAATAAACAAACCAAATGAAAAGAAACACTAACATAGGGAGCGCAGGAACAAAACACAACACAAGCCTGACATGACGCCCCCCTCCGGAAGGCGCGTCCTCGCGCCATACAACATCAAATGGATGGGAGGGTGGAAGCGCCTTGGAGATCCCTCAGGACAGGCTTGGACAGGACAGGATGCCCCAAGGAAGTCCCAGATCCGGGCGCCATGGCAGATCTGGCAGTTCGGGGCGCCATGGCGGATCTGGCAGACTCGGAGACCATGGCGGAGTCCTCAGAAGACTCGACCACAAAAAGATGACTGCAGCTGTCACGGTGCGTAGGAGGGATACGAGGAGATGACGTTAAAAACTTGACTTTTAATAAACAAACCAAATGAAAAGAAACACTAACATAGGGAGCGCAGGAGACACACATGGAATGACATTTAAGACTCGACAAGAAAACATGAGGCAGACTACACATTTATACTAAACTTAATGAGAGACAGACAGGTGTGGGGAATCAACTAATAATTAGACAATGAGAACAGGAAACCAAACCAAATATGGGCATAAGGAAACACGAGGGAGAACTAGAACTTGGGGAACAAAACACAACACAAGCCTGACAAATCGTGATTAATCGCATCCAAAATAAAAGTTTTTGTTTATATATGTGTGTACTGTGTATATTTATTATGTATATATACACTCACATACAGCATATAGCATATATTTTGGAAATATTTACATGCATATACATTTATATATTTATATTCTTATATTTTTTATATATAAATATATTTAATATATTAACACATTTTTTCTTATATATTTACATGCATGTGTTTGTATTTACATATACATAATAAACATACACAGCACACACATAAATTATGTAAACAAAAACTTTGGATGTGATTCTTCCAAAGTAAGACTTAAGAATAGGGAACACTTATTCATTATTAACTACGACTTTTCCCTCAATAAATTACTAATTTGCTGCTTATTAATAGTTAGTAAGGTAGTTGTTAAATTTAGGTATTGGGTAGGATTAGGGATATAGAATAAGGTCACGTAGAATAAGGCATTAATACGTGCTTAATTAGTACTAATAAATGGCTAATATTCTAGTAATATGCATGCTAATAAGCAACTAGTTAAGAGACCCTAAAATAAAGTGTTACCAAGTTTTCTAAAGAAAAATACTCTGCTTTAAAAGTACTTTTCAAGTGTCTGTACTTTATCAGAGTAAAAAATACTTTACTACTGTCCACCTCTGACAACAGAGTAACTGATGACGTGCAAGCTGTTCGCAGGGCATTGGTAACACTGATGAGTTAAAGGAATAGTTAACCCAAAAACTATATTTACTCACCCTCATGTTGTTGTAAACCTGCATGAAGTACTTCCTTCCGATGAACACAAAGGAAGGTATGAAACATATACTATGGAAGTCAAAGGTGCCCCACAACTGTTTGGTTACCAACATTCTTCAAAATAGCTTCCTTTGTGTTCAGCAGCAGGAAGAACAGGTTTACAACAACATAAGAGTGAGTAAATGATGACAGAATGTTATTTATTTATTTGTTGTTGTTGACAATCCCTTTAAGGGGCAGCATGATATTTTATGTTTATGTTCATGCTTTGTGTATTTGAGTATTTTTACATTTGATAACACAATCTCCTATTTGAACGTGAAGTGACGTGTGGCCAAGTATGGTGACCCATACTCGGAATTTGTGCTCTGCATTTAACCCATCCAAGTGCACGCACACACACAGTAGTGAACACACATACACCGTGAACACGAACTACAATTAGTAGTGGGCAGCCAATGCTGCGGCGCCCAGGGAGCAGTTGGGGGTTCGGTGCCTTTGCATGCAGCTTATAACATGGCCAGTGACACAATGCTCATTCCCTTATCTCAGGGAACCGAGGTTACGTCAGTAACCGGAGCGTTCCCTTTCGAACGTACTCTCACGTTGTGTATGGGGAATGCATCCAATCATGCCGTGCTATGAGCAGATACATAACGACCTGCTTTGCGAGCCCAGTCTCAGGGCACTTCAGTTAAAGGCCCCTAAAGAACATGAGCCGAGCCAAGTCCCAAGCCACTGCTGAGGACTACAGACATTGCCTATTTTTCCCCAATGGTGGAAATGGATGATTAAAACAGACAAAACTCGTGCCTGCAAAACAGGAACGTCCAAATGACAGAATCTGTCAAAGGTGGACGGTGACGACCAGCCGGCGGCTGCACAAATCTCACCAAAAGAGATCCCACTGGACCACGCCCAGGAGGAGGCCATTCCTCTGGTGGAATGGGCCCTCACACCTATCGGGCATTGAGAGACAACCAAGGCATAAGCCAGGGCAATAGAATCTACTATCCAGCACAACAGTCTCTGCTTTGTAACCGGCAGCCCTTTAGAGTGGCCTCCAAAGCAAACAAAGGTTTTCTGTTTGTCTGAATGACTTAGAGCGCTCCACGTACACTCTGAGTGCCCGAACTGGACACAGTAAGTTAGGACCCTGGTCACCATCCGCTGCAGGAAGAGCTAGCAGGGAAATGACCTGGGCTCTGAACGGTGATGAGAGCACCTTAGGTATGTAACCGCTGCATGGTTGGAGGACGACTTTACAGTTGTTGGGTCCAAACTCAAGACAGGAAGCACTGACGGACAGCGCTTGCAAGTCACCTACTCTTTTGACCGATGCTAAGGCCAAAAGCAGAGCAGTTTTGAGCGTCATGACCTGTAATCCGGTTGTTTGAAGTTGCTCAAAGGGTGGGTCCCTGAGGGCCCTAAGGACTATAGTCCCATGTCGGCAAAATCCTAGGGCGAGGTGGGTTCAGCCTCCGAGCACCCTTTAGGAACTTAACGTCCAAGTAATTTCTGCCGATCGCCCGGCCAGCCTCGAGGGAATGATTCCCTGCGATGGCTGCCACATAGACTTTGAGTGTGGATGGGGTGCACCCTTATCCAACAACTCTTGAAGATGGCATGTAGGACACGTCACATGAGCTCAGCTCCCTGCCTTCGTGCTGAACACCAGTCGCTGGCATACAGACGGATGTTGGGCCAATCGTGGGCCAGAGCATCCAGCTGTCTCTTGAAACACCTTGGATGGCTTGGATGGGTGCACTGCAGACTTGAGGCCGCGGGGTCGACGGTGGACACAAATGAGCAGCTACAGCCTCTTCGAGAATGGTCAATATCAGCTTTAATGGCACATAGTCAGGATAATCACAAAAAATGTCTTTAGCGGGGTTTTCACAGAGAGGATCACAAATATTAAAAAATGTGACACTTTGAGCAGCTACTCTGATGTTAAATTTGGCATGATTCCCTGATTTTCATTCAATTACAGGCTTTCCTCCTGATGTACTACATCAGGGATGCAAAACTCTGGCTCCAACTCTGCTCCAACACACATACCTGTAGTTTTTAAATAACGCTGAAGGACATGATTAGCTGGATCTGGTACGTTTAATAAGGGTTGAAGCTAAACCAGGGGTGCCCAAACTCGGTCCTGGAGGGCCGGTGTCCTGCAGAGTTTAGCTCCAACTTGCCTCAACACACCTGCTTTCAAGTTTCTAGTATGCCTAGTAAGAGCTTGATTAGCTCGTTCAGGTGTGTTTAATTGGGGTTGGAGCTAAACTCTTCAGGACACCGGCCCTCCAGGACCGAGCTTGGGCACCCCTGAGCTAAACTCTGGAGGGCTATTCTTCTTTTTAACCCCAAGAGAAGAATGGAAAAGAACTGAGTATATCAGGGTTTTGAGGGCTGGTGAAATCATTCCCTCTAGTGTGAACTCTTATGTCAAGTCAGCTTTAATTCTATTATGCTTTATATAATACAGATTGTGTCAAATCACATCACAGAGATAAACAGCGAAATTGCAGAATCAATGGAGGCAATTCAGATTCTGCTGTAAAGAGTGTTTCAAGAGATTCATCTCAAGTCAGTTTGAAATGACATCAGTTCAGCTGTAAACAGTTCTACAAAAGGCAGCAATGTAGTTATTCAATTAGAATCAGTTCAGTGTTGAGTGAATTCAATTAGGTAACATGTCAATGTTGCAAGATGGGATTCAGCTTTAAAGCAGCTCTACGGAAGATGGTATGCCATCATCCAGCTTATGTGAAACTCAAGATTTGCTTTGTTTCTGGAAGTCTTTCCACAGTAATGGCACATGACAGGCTTCTCTTCGATGTCCCTGCATGATTCCTAGGTTTTGGGTTTTTTTCTCTCTGTAAAACACATTTCACACTGATGACACTTAAACAGATCCCTCTTGAGTAAATCTTCACGTGGTACTTAAGGTTACCTTTTTGGTTGAAACTTCTCTCTAGTATGAATTCTCATGTGGACTTCAAGGTATAATTTTTGACTAAAACTCTTTCCACACTCATAGCATGTGAAAAGGCTTCTCTCCAGTGTTAACTCTCATGTGCCTGGTAAGGCTTCTTTTATAAGTGAAACCGTTTTCACACTGTTGGCAGGGGAAAAAAAAAATCTCTCCATAATGTGAATTCGGCTGTGGACGTAAAGGTTTTGTTTTGCTTGAAACCTTTTCTACACAGATGTCAGGTGAAGGGTTTGTTTCCAGTGTGAACTCTCATGTGGCAATTAAGGTTTTCTTTTCTGTTGAAACTTTTTCCACAGTGTTTGCAGGTGAAAGGCTTCTCTCCAGTGTGAATTATCATGTGGACTTTAAGGTGTCCAGGTTGACTGAAACGCTTTCCACACCATTGGCAGGCGTAAGGCTTCTCTCCAGTGTGAACTCTCATGTGCCTGTTAAGGTTTCTTTTATGAGTGAAACTCTTTCCACACTGTTGGCAGGTAAAAAGGCTCTCCATAGTGTGAATTCGCCGGTGGACATCAAGGTTTCCACTTTGATTGGAACTCTTTCCACACTGAGGGGATCTGTTAGGTTTCTCTCCTGTGTGAATTTTCATGTGCCTGTTAAGGCTTCTTTTATAAGTGAAACTGTTTCCACACTGTTGGCAGGTAAAAAGGCTCTCCATAGTGTGAATTCGCCGGTGGACATCAAGGTTTCCACTTTGATTGGAACTCTTTCCACACTGAGGAGATCTGTTAGGCTTCTCTCCAGTGTGAATTCTCTTGTGCCTGTTTAGGTTTCCTTGTTGACTGAAACTCTTTCCACACTGAAAGCAAGTGAAATAACTCTTAGTTCCTGTCTTTTGAGCTCTTTTTTGTGTGGAAGTCTTTTCAGACTGTAAGGAACAAAAAGATTTTTCTCCGGTTGTAAAATCATGAAGATTCATATACTGATCTTTCTCTTCAGTTTCATTCAGTCCTTCCCTCTCCTCTTTCAGTGCCATTAGGTCTAAAGTGGAAAAACAAACAAATAAAAGTTAACCCCAGTTTAAAACATTCAGATATGTAATGCATGTATGCTAGATTCTACACCAGGGTGTCCAAACCTGATCCTGGTCGGCCGGTGTCCTACAGACAGAGGCGGACAGTAGTGACGTATTTTTACTTTACTCAAGTAAATTTAAAAAGTATCTGTAGTTTATCAGTGTTTTTCTTTGGAAAACTTTTACTTCACTACATTCCAAAGCATAATGTTATACTTTTTACTGCACTACATTTCATAAATAAAAGTTGTTTGTTTTACCTTTAATACTTTAGAATATTAAAAATGTAGTATTTTCTTGTACTCAAGTAAATCTTTGAATTACTTTTACTTGAGTAAAAGTAAGAAAGTAATAGATTTCTAATGTAATTAAGTATTAAAATTATATTTAATATGAAACGTAGTGCAGTAAAAAGTACAATACTATGCTTTGGAATGTTGTGAAGTAACATTTTCTAAAGAAAAACACTGCTTTAAAAGTACTTTTCAAGTGTCTGTACTTTATCATAGAGTAAAAATACTTCACTACTGTCCGCCTCTGCCTACAGAGTTTAAGCTGGCCGTTATACAATTAATTGAAAAACTCTAGATAATCTAATGTCTGAGTTCAGGAAATCTAGATATAGCCTGATCTCAATATACCATTTATTATGCCTCCTAGGGGATAAAATACAACAAATTTAAAGAGAGAGGGAAAAAAAAGAAAAGGGGACAAACCATCAGAGCGGTTACACTGACTTCTTAAAGAGAAAACACCCCAAAACCAACTGTTTGAGTCAGAGAATGATAAACAGGGTGGAAAAGGTCATAAATCACTCAATTTTGAATGTTTTTCATCCAAAAAACTTTAATAATATTATAATTAGACCATGAAAAAAAAAAGAAACTTTAAAAGAAAACAGGCAATATTTTTGCAACAATTGTTGCATTAACTGAAAACAACCCACTCATATTTCACGATGCATGTTTTAATCAGCACAGCATGAGATGGGCTTTGATCATTAGAAAAATTCAGCACTAAGATTAATTAAAAAAGGGTAAGGACTGTATTCTTGCAGACACATTATATTGTTCTGTTTAGCGCAAGTATGTAAATCAGATTTGTATTGATTTGTAGTGGTGAGTGGGGTTTCATATTATGGTTATTTTGTACCATTGTTTTGTTTTTCTCTTGTTCTGTTCTGCAAAAATGACCTGCCTTTGGCATCTAATCATTGCTACAACCAGGGCTCAACATTAAGCCTAGATATCTGTAAGTATATGTGTCTGTGGTATTTGCCACATTAAACTGATTTCCAGGGCCTTTTTTTTTTTTTTTGCTTTATAAAGTATCTTAACGGAGTGTCTAGTGCAAATAGCCCGCCTTGTTGGCAGAGGCTATTTACACTAACTCCGCAAACCAATGTGTGATTGGGGTAGTCGACACTACAAAAGATGTTTGTCAAATATCTGCTCAAAGTGGGGTAGATGGTAAAGCATGTGCCTGGCTCCTTTTGACACAACTGACCCGGATTCAGATCTGCCTTTTGCCGAACTTTTTTTTCTCTCCCTTTTCAAAATCTCATATCACATCGTAAAGGCATTTATTTTCTATAAAAATGGAAATATTAAAAAAGTTGAAAATAAGGTCAAGGTATCTTTATTAGTACCCGAAGGTAAATTTGTTGTGCAGACGAGATTCAGCAATCCATCCTTAAGACAATCCATGAGACATACAATACATGTAAAGGGTGGGAACTATCTCTAATCATAAAACTCGCCTTACGCTGTAAATGGTTAGAGTAAAGACCTGCTAAGTTAAGTTGAGGTTCACCTATAATCTTACTTGCCCACATAACAATTTGATTCAAATAATTTTTGTTCTTCAAAGACAAATTACCAAACCATGCCACAAGGGAGAACGTCAAGACTGATTCAATAAAAGCTTGATTAAAAAGGGTCATCATAGATTTATCAATGTGAAATCTGGACAGCTTTCTGAGGCAAAACAGACGCTGATGTCCCTTTTTACATAACCATCTCACAGTTCTTTTCAAAAGTAAATTTAGAATCTATGACTGTCCCGAGATATTTGTTGCTTTCTACACAATCCACCGCCTGGTCTTTAATTATCGTAGTGTCATAACGTAAAACACAAGTTCTAAAATCTATAATCATGTCCTTTGTTTTAGTTATATTTAACTCCAAATAAGATTAATCACACCAGGTGACAAACTCCTCAATAATAGGACCATGACCGGATTTATTATCGTGTAGCAAACTCACGATAACTGTGTCATCAGCGAATTTCAATATAGTCCTATTTACATGCTTACTTTGGCACATATTAGTATACAGAATATAAAATTCGAAGATAAAAAAAGTATTGGGTAGGGTAGGTGTAGGGAGGGCTTTATTGTCCCAGTAAGGTGGCATCCATTTAATAATTTGAATTAAAATGATAATTTACACTCAATACATTATTATTGCATACTGTTTTTTTTTAATGTACAATACTGAGGTGCAGATAATTGCCATTATTTGCAATAAGTAGTATAAATAGCAGAAAATTCTATTTTAACAGTATAAATACAATCTATAGCTATTTGCACTTAATGCAAATAGCATATTGCTAAAAAAAATACTGTGATTTTCACTTGTGTAAATAATAATAATAAGTTTTATTTATATAGCGCCTTTCCAGAGCTCAAGGACAATTCGTCGTAAATGAAAGAAAGCTGTTTTAGTGAGAGAGTTAATATGTGACTGAAATGAAAGAGAGGAGTCAAACATAACACCGAGATTTCTGACGATACTAGATGGAGCAATTAGAGTGCCAGTGATATTGCAAGTAAAGTCAGCGGGAACTTTGGTGGCAAGTGATGGGGTACCAATAATGATGATCTCAGTTTTATCCATATTAAGTTTCAGAAAATTAAGAGTTAAGCCATGTTTTTATATCCTGCACGCAAACAGAAATTTTTATCAATTTGGGTGGATAGGGAAGGCCTGTATGACGTGTAAATTTGAATGTCATCAGCATAAAAATGATAGCTAAAGCCATGACGCTGTAGTATCTCACCCAATGGTAAAATATAAATAATAAACAGCAAAGGCCCAAGAACGGAACCCTGGGGGATGCCTTGTTTCAGGGGGGCAGTAGGGGATCTAAAATCCCGAGCAGAGATGTAAAACTGTTTATCACATAGGTATGAGGAGAACCAGGAAAGAGCAGTACCAGATATACCCACAGCTGAAAGACGAGAGATAAGCAAATCATGAGAGATGGTATCGAAGGCAGAGCTGAGATCAAGTAGCAGAAGTAAAGACAGAGAGCCAGTGTCGCAAGAGAGTAATAAATCGTTCACTACCTTTAGAAGGGCAGTTTCAGTACTATGTTGCGGACGAAAATTGCAGAGCATTTATGAAATGAGAGATAGGTGGAGAAATGACCGAATGACACCGTTTCAGGTGAGAAGTAGGAGCTGGGTCAAGTTGTCAGGAAGAAGAATTTGATTTTGAAATTAGCTCAGAAACAGAAGACGGATTAGTAAGAGAAAAGCAGGACAGGGAATTACCAGAGAGATTAGGCTCAAAGCTAAAACTGATAGCGTTGTTCGAAAAGCCCCGGTGGATGGCAGCCGTCTTGTCCAGAAGATAGTTTAGAAAGGAGCAGCAGAAATCATCTGAACCTACAGCATCATGAGGTGGGGGTTTGGTAAGTTTATTTACTGTGTTGAATAGTGCTTTTGGCCTGTTACTGGCTTTATTAATCATGGCAGAGACTAAATTAGAACGTGCTAGGTGTAAAGCAGATTTGTAATTTTTGAGATGTTCAAGAAAGGCTTGGTGATCAACAGTGAGGCCAGTTTTCCTATAGAGACGCACAAGCCGTCGACCGGAGCCTTTAAGGATACGAAGTAAAATAAGCATCCACCTCCGAAAGCAGTCACAGCCTCAATTGTGTTTCATCTGCTTGCTCTGAGGCGCAAGTAATTTATCATACTTATTCTATTCAGTGGCTTCTCCTAGTTTTCTTAGTCATACTTAGTGCCAGTTTATCAGGAAGTGACGCTTTTGTTCTCTTGGACTCGTTGGATGGAAACGGTGCTTTATTCGCAAATGTTTTATGCGATATTCCAGTTTTGCACATATATTTAATTGAAATCTTTGGATGGAAACATAGCTATTGAATCATTAATTCAACCGATTCATTCAATTGTCTGATTAATTCAAGAATGAAGCAAATTACTCTCCTTATGTATGGGTCATTGAATCACTGACTCACAGGATTTATACAAAAATCTTGAATCAATCAGTAACAAAACATGGTTGTGTTGTTCAGAGATGTGCAACTACTCTTCTGTGATCTTTCTTTGGAACTATTTTCATCGGTCAATATTATCTCTAAAATGTAAGTCACTTTATTAACTACTTATTCATTAAACTGTTGTATAAAATCGGTGTCACATTTGCAATCATGCTGATATTTAAGAAAACAGCACTCTTGGTTATGTGTTGTTGCTGATTATCATATGCTATAAATACAAAGAAACTCACAGATGAAATATACTGCAGTAAAAATGTAAAATGTTGAGTTTTTATGTGTGCTATTTTGATTTCTCCAAGAGTCTCTCTCACGCACAGTAAGGCTGCATGAGCTTCATCTGGCACGACTGTTACTGACAATACATTATCCATTAACAGTCCCCATTTACACTGAATGTAACAAAATCAGAGTCATTTTCACCAAAGTTTTGATGCATCCTTAGGTATTTTTTGTTAATGAAGTTTTAATCAGGCCACTTGTCCAGTT